ATATATATATATATATATATATATATATATATATATATATATATATATTTGCAATAATCTTCATTTTGAATCCATCCTTTACATTTTTGTACATTGTGGAATTTGATAGTAAAGTATGGAGGTTCGTGATTCGAGCAAGTTCGTGCTTAAATGAATTATTGATTGTATAGCGGAAAGAAAATAGAAAGCTTACAGTATATGAAAGTTGCGAATAATATATTTCACGTGTGAAAACGCAACCTTGATGTATGTAACACCACGTTTGATACTTAGGCGTTAACAACTGCAAAATCCAACACATTATTCGGTTCTAATCCGAATCGCTGTCAACAACACTCCGAAGCCGCTTGAATGTACTACGTGCCTCTCGGTGTCGCGGCGGCGTTTCTACGATTACTGGCTTCTTATTGCCTTCCATGCTTCTTCTTGCGCGCGTAACACGTCCTAAGACACACAAAAAAAATCTAATATCTTTGTAATTATGTAATGTAATATCTCTGTTTCCCTAGCCGTTTTACCGAGTTTAACATTATATTTGATCACAGCTCTTTGCTCCGGAAATTTTTGACAGTGTAAAAAATCTAAACAAATTCAAAATGTTCCTTTACGTTATCGTAAAGTATTTGAACGTATTTATCTGACGCGTTATCGTATTTGAAACATGATATTGCAAAAACTCCCTATTACGTTTTGTCAAATACCGGGAATTGTTCAATAAAACACAAAATATTGGTTTAATCATCCAAATTTATTTTGTCGTTTTCAAAATAGGCTCCATTTGATACGATACACTTATGCCAACGAATAATCCAGTCGTCAAAACACTTCTTATAAGTGCTTTCCGATATGACCTGCAGCTCCTTCTGCGTATCTTGTTTTATGGCTTTAATAGACTCAAAACGTCTTCCACGAAGTGGTAATTTGAGTTTGGGAAATAGGAAAAAGTCACATGGTGCCATATCTGGCGAATACGGTGCTTGGTCGATAACATTTATTGAGTTTTTAGTCAAAAATTCGCGTACAAGAGTTGATGTGTGGGATGGCGTATTATCGTAGTGCAAAATCCAAGAATTGTTCTTCCACAAATCTGGCCTTTTCCGGCGAACATTCTCTCTCAAACGCCTCATAACACCCAGACAATATCGTTTGTTGACTGTTTGCCCTTCCGGAAAGAATTCCGAGTGGACAACACCACGATAGTCAAAGAATACAGTCAACATGAGTTTGATCTTCAAGCGACTTTGACGTGATTTTTTCGGTTTCGGCTCGTTATCGAAGCGCCATTCCGAAGCTTGGCTGGTTTGCATGTCAAACCCACGTTTCGTCACCCGTTATAATGTGTTTTATGAATATAGGGTCCGAACTGGCTCGTTCAAGCATATCTTCAGCAACCTGTTTACGGTGCTCTTTTTGAAGAAAATTCAGCTCCTTCGGAACAAGTCGTTCCGCAACGCGTCTCATGCCCAAAACATGAACTAAAATGGTGCGAACGGATTCGTGAGACATGTCCAGATCCTGAACCACCTCTCTTAAGCTTGAATGACGATTTTCCATTGACGATGACCATTTCCTTCACTTTGTCGATGTTTTCGTCAGTCAAAAACGTTGAAGGTCGACCGAAACGAGGCAAGTCTTCAACCACTTCTCGGCTTTCTTTGAATGTTTTGTACCACTCGTATGCTCGTGTTTTCGATAAAGCTGACTTACCGTAGGCTTTCTCCAACATTTTCAACGACTCAGCACAAGGAATTTTGTTGACAACACAAAATTTAAGACAAACTCTTTGTTCGATGTTTTCACTCATTTTAAAAATGGGGTACACTTGAGATTCACTAACAAAACCAATAGCTGTAAACAAACTGGTTGACAGATGGCGCCAAAACTCTACGTGACAATTAGGTATATTGGTACTAACTTACAGCAAAAAATTTGTTTTCATACTTTTTACGCGGGCTTTCAAAATAAATTTCCGGTGTTTATTTGACAGAAAGTATTAGGACCTTGAATAAGTTCTCGCTAATTTTTCGTGAAAATTAATGCTTTATTTTAAAAAAATAAAAAATATGCCACTGAAAGTATTAGTCATCTGCCACTGAAAGTATTAGCCACTACTTTTTCCCATCTTTCTGGCAGCATTTGAATTCCACGTCGGAAAAACGACACGTCTTTTGAGGCTATCCAAGAGTCGACCAATTTTTTGGCATCTTCATAAGAATGGAAGTGCTGCTCAGCCAGGCCATGTGCCATCGATCGGAACAAGTAATAATCGGAAGAGATAATGTTTGGTGAATACGGCGGGTGAGGTAGGATTTCCCATTTAAGCGTTTCTAAGTAGGTTTTCACCGGTTGTGCAACATGTGGCCGAGCGTTGTCATGTTGCAAAATCACTTTGTCGTGTCTCTGCTCGTGTAGTAGACGTTTTTCCTTCAATGCTCGGCTCAAATGCATCAATTGTAGTCGACAGCGATCTCCCATGATGGTTTCGTTCGGTTTGAGCAACTCATAATAAGTTACGCCCAGCTGATCCCACCAAATACAGAGCAGAAGCTTCGAACCATGGATATTCGGTTTTACCGACGATGTTGATGCATGACCGGGCTTACCCCACAATCTTCTACGCTTAGATTTATCGTAGTGTATCCACTTTTCATCGCCAGTCATGATATGATGCAAAAAACTTTTCCTTTTCTGGCGTTGAAGCTGCTGTTCACACATGAAAGACGTCGTTCAACGTCTCTCGGCTTCAACTCGCACGGCACTCAATGTCCTTGCTTTTGAGTCATTCTTAATGCTTTCAAACGTTTCGAAACTGTTGTGTGATCAACTCCTAATGATTCTGCAAGTTCAGTTAGCGTCTGACATGAGTCTTCCTGAAGTAATACCTCCAATTCTTCGTCTTCAAACTTTCTCGGTGCGCCAGAGCGTTCTTTATCTTCAACCTCAAAATCATTATTTTTGAAGCGTCTAAACCAATCTCTGCATGTTGTTTCCGACAGAGCATGGTCGCCGTAAGTCTTGACAAGAATTCTGTGTGCTTCAGCTGCAGATTTTTTTTGAATAAAGTAGTGCAGTAAAATTCCTCGCAAATACTCTTTTTTTGGCACGAAACTCGACATGTTTAACACTATGAAAAAAAAAGTTGTTCATTGTACACTTCGGCGAAATGACATACATTGAATTTCAAGCTTGCTTATAGTACTTCCTTATAGATGCGTTACCATCTTAAACTACACGCACGCAGTTCTGGTAACGCCATCTGTTGGAAAACAGCGAGAACTTATTCAAGGTCCTGATATTTTAGCGTTACCGTATCTAAAGTACAATATTGCAAACGCTCCCTAGTATTATATTAATAATATGAGAATTCGTAAAAATTTCAATACTGACCTTCAGATAGAATATTGGATGAGTCCAATTCGGATGCCTCTTTTATTTTCTCGTTCTTCTTTTTCGCTCGTTTACACTTCTCCAACGTTGGTCTTCCAGTGATACCTTTTTTCTCTAATAATTCTTTCAGACGATTAATTCTTTCAGTATTATTATGACAATCGGCCCAAATTTCTTGGTATGACTTTATTCTCACGCCAGCAACTTTTAGATATTTCTTTAACATTTGAATCTGTTTGTTATCCTCTGGTTTCTAAAATGATGATGACTCTTATAACACAAACTCACACATAAAGATTTGAAATCATCATAGTTAATATATTCATATAAAATTACTTACGGCGTTGGTACGTCTCGCCCTCCTAGCCTTTGTAGGCTTCTCTTCATGATCGGAATTACTCTTACCATCACTTTTGCTCACTGAAGATTCTTTTTCCGACATTTCTTCTTCCGTCTCATTTTTTACTGTTTTTTCAGTTTTGTCTGTTGAAATAATATCGGAGTTTTCATCATCAGACGCATCTTCGGTATTTTTTTTGTGAGCATTTTTCCTTATTCCTACGCCTCGTCCTCTTTTCGATTCAGTCGAGCGTTTTGTCGATCTTTTTGTTGCTGGCGATCTTTTCAACTTCTTCTTAGTTCGTGGATTATAATCCTCGTCAGAATTGTTATTCTGACTGTCTTCAGATCCGGAGGCCTTCAGTTTGCTGAAACTTGTTCTCGTACCTCTTCTCTTCCTCCTGTCTTTTGATTTTATTTCTACTGCGTCATTGGTTTCCTGCGCATCAGACTTCTCATCATCCGATGAACCACATTCCAATTCCGATTCATTTGGTTCAGCTTTGACGATCACTGTTTTTGGTCGTGGCTTCTTTTCTTCTTCGTCTGCACTGTCCGAACTCGATCCCTCTTTATCACTGGCGCATTCCACTGAAAGCTCCAATCCATCTACTACTTCTGTATCTGTAGATCGATTCTTTGCAGTATATTTCTCTTTTGTCTCATTTTCTTTGCTATTCTCCTTACAATTATCTGTATCGCCAACTACTATATTATCTTCTTCAGTTTTCACAGTATTGAAAGTAGATGCTGCCTTAGCATTATCAGGTCCTTTGAATGTATTATCCTGTTAAACATAAAAAAGTCATGAATAATAAATAAATCTTATTTATTTTATATATTAATTCTTCGTCAACAAGATATAATTTAGCACATTAGATCAGCAAGGTAGGTAGTTGAAGACTAGTGTATGTTTTTACATTGTTTCAGATTATACAAAGATCTGGAGAAATTTTCATATGCTTGTGAAAGTTATATTGATTTTGACAATCTATCTTCTCAGGCAGTTCGTATAATATATGAAGACAAGATTTGCACAATAAATATAATAAGCTGTGTTCTCTGTTTCTATTTTTAAAAGATATATAAATATTAAGGCAAATAAAATATAACAATAATGTGCAAACTGTGATTTAAGATCGATGTCGACGTAAGACTTGTCAGAAGCTCAACAGTTAAAAAATAAAATGAGTTAATTTTCTTGATAAATACCAATACTTTAACAAATATGTTAATAATTACCATGAAATAAAAAAGAAAAATAAAAAAAAGAAAAATATAATTACATAGAGCGAAAAACAAATAACATCCGACATCGATATCAATCTTAAGTCATAGTCTATATTATTTTTACATTTTTTGTCTAATTTTTATATTCACTGAAGAGTTACCAAATTAATAGAAACCAAATATCTACAAAATAATATGTTCAAATAGTGTTTGAAGAAAATATTTATCACAACAAAGTTTCACCTGTCTTTTTTCTTCATGTCATTTGAATATAAACTTGAGACAAACAGAAGAAGAGAGAAAGAGAAAGAGGAGCCATACATATTATATTATATATAATTTTTATATTATATTATATATAATTTTTATATTATATTAAATTTATATTAAAAGTAACTTGAAAATATGTAAAATACAAAAAAATACTAATCACTAATTTACTAAAATATGTGGCTGGCAAAATAAGTCATTGAGGGGAAAACATTTTTTTAAACATTGTTATTGAAAGATGAATAACTGGATTTTAATGCTATATATATATATGTGTGTGTGTGTGCGCGTGTGTGTGTGTATAAAATCTCACTAAGTACACATATATATAAAATCTTGCTAAGATACATATATATATATACAGGGTGCCCACGTAAAGTGTTACAAGCTAATAATTCTAAACATATTTATCCTATCAAAAAGTTGTTCATGAGAAAGTTTCATATATTCGAGAGGCCTTTCTAACTATGTAAACAAAAATCCACTTCCGTGAAGAGGGGCAGGGGATAACTTCAAAGTTTCAAATGGGACCTCCTATACAATGTTACATACTTGGATTCTACGGGAAAAAACAAGTAAACTTTGTCTGAAACATTTCTTTGGAAAATGCTCCTATTAAAAGTTATAAACATTTAAACTTTAATGTAGGGTGCATTGAAATTAATGATAAATTAAATAAGACTCATAGTTTTTCTGTTTTGTTTTATTTTATTAAATGTGCA